GAACAGCGATAAAAACGGCGACGCATGTTACAGCGCAAATCAATCCGAAGACAGCGGAGCGAATAACAATTTCCCATTGAGCTCGGATCACCACGGGTGACCGCACACGCGTCATCGGTGCCTTGAAAGCAGGAACGCCCGCAGTGAAAGAGGGAACCATGAAGGAGATAACGGGAGAGCGATTAGAGCTCGGCGTCGGCGATGGCGTGTACGAATTGGGCGATTGAATTGAAGAAGTTTGTGAAACGAGTGATAGTGGAGGTGCGTATGTGCGCTTGCATTTATACTGCTGGCGCGCGATGGTAGAAGTGAGGAGATTGTTTGAAGGAGTGATGTTTCCAGTTTCGAGAGATAGTGTTGGAGTATGTCCTGCGACGGCGACAGGTGGGGAAACATTGCTCGGGAGACGAATGTTATCTGCATGGATCGCATTTCCCTTGACAGACTTGGGAAGAAGATCGAAGTCAAAACACTCTTTCGAGTCTAGTCCTGTGTAGACGCGCTCTTTTAGATCGTCTTCCGCATCGAGGTCTACCTCATGACGAATGAACGCCGCGCTGGGGCCGAAGGAACTAGAATCATCTAGGGTATGTGGCTTGACAGCCGAACTGTGCACGGCATTCCCGCTGGAAGCGTGACATTCAAGAGGTGAGAGAAATGTAACAGGGTTTGGGCGCTGTCGAGTATGTGCCATGGAAGGGAACGCGATAGATGATGGCTGCGCAGAACGGTAATGAGATCGATACAAGCCTGTGGCTGTCGCTGGACCCTCAGGTGCAGGCACGTCATCGAAGTAGGCAGGAGAAATTTCAATCTCTGGCGACTCGGATGAAGAAGAAGAATGTTCGTCTTCTGAAGATCCGGATAGTTCGGTATCAGAATACGACTCCGAGGCTTGCGAAAATGAGCGTCCTTCAGCAGAGAGGGAGTATGGCGCGGATTGGAAGGACCTAGAGGAGCAGAATTCTGGATTGTACTGCCTGTCGTGGTGCTTGGATATTACGATGGTAGGCCTCTCGGTAGGCGCTGACGGGTGAGGTAACGGCGCTGATATTGATGTGACCGCAGGGGCAGGGGAAGGTAGCGGCCTAGAAATAGCTGGCCTAGCGAGCTCAAATTTTCGAAGTTGTCTCAGGTCGCCAAAGACATACACCATGAGACAAACCTATAAACAGGGGAGTTACCTCACGCACGATTACTTGGAGGGAGGGGATTCACTCACTCCGTTGAAACTAGAGAACAACAACGCCAAACCAAGCCATATGCCGGGGAATGCTGATAACCTCCACCACCGTCCGTGAGGGGCACCCACCCAGCCACCAGACGTCAGTACAAGAGGTAATATTCCAGCAATACATAAACATATCATCCCAGCAGCAATGCCACAAGCTGCTCTGCGTGAGCCAACATTGGTAGAAGCTGCACGAACAAAGCGCGAAAGGGACTCTTTAAGCATTGCGCGTGCCTCTAATGCCACCTCTATGAACACTGTAGGATCTGGGTGGGCGCTTGGTGGGTTTGAAATGGCTGCCCCGCGAACTCTGGTAGAAGATACTGCGTTTTGAGATGAACAATGAAATGGGGCAAGGATATCTGAAGGGACATCGAGTTCGTACTCGGCGCCAGGGGTGAAGAAGGTCTGTTTTGCTTTTGCATAAAAAAGGGCAAGCGAGGGGTCTGACGACGATGAAGGGAGAAAGGCTTGTCGTGTTGAAGTACCAGTAGGAGTTGGAGCATTCATGGCTTTGGTACGCTGTGACCAGACGTGGTAACGGGTGGTATACTCCTTTAGCCATAGCAAAAAATAAAGATTTTCTGGTGATTGCTCGACATAGAGAAGATATTCTTCGAAATCCTTGAGACCAAGAGGCGGAAGGTGCTTGCGTTCGAGTACATCGTCAAGATGAACTTCCGGGAATGGTGTCACCCCACACGACCGTACTTTGCCAACAGATGGGGGTGGGTTGCAAATTCGGTACTAGATAGATAACCAAGTTGTGAGATATTGCTTCTACTCAAGTACGTGTTTGACGCACAGGAAATGTTAGGAGGCTCTTCAAGGAGAGGTTTGACGTTGGGGGCCTTTCCTGCTGTTGCATGGATCATAGATGATATGAGCGAAAAAACAGAGGGCAAAAGCGGGCAGTGCTAGTGATTGGTGACTGCCAATGGACTTAAATGATATACACGTGATGATGATAACCGGAAATTGGACATTAGCCTGACCGATCAGGCGTTGCCGACTTTCGACCCGGTTAGCGCTTTTAACTTGGATCGAATCCACCGGATGGCGGATCACGTAAAGAGCATCATCTCGGACGTCACGGAGTCGACACTGCAGCAAAGGCTGAAGCAGCTTGAGAACTGGCCACTGATATAGCTTATGGGAATATGATGACTAGGTCCTCCTAGCGGGGAGTGTTTTCGACGACATCAGCCTTGGAGCTAAAATTATGGGAAATCCCGGTTGAGCAGGTGAAGAAGTTGAAGAAGACGTTGTTGGTACTGTGTCGTTGATTCGTTGCGAACATTGATTCGAACTTCTGGCCGAAAAGGGTTAATCAATATCAGATGAAGGCCTCGACTGATAAAAATACCCATAAGACCATGTGGAAGACCAGTGAATATTTGAATGGCTGTGTAATGATCTATCACATCAGGTCTCAAACTATGCACTCAACGCGGACGAGATTTGACTTGAGCGCTGAGCTACAAGACGCGGATGCGTCAAGATCTACCAAGGCAGCATGACCGCGTTAGATCTCCGAGGAACACATGACCGTCGTAGACAAATTGTCATTTTCCCACATGGACCAACACAATGGTTTCTGCCAACCGAAGAGAGTTTGATAGTATTAGTAAGTGCCATCAGCATCAGCTCTTCCATCAGTGATGCGATGCCATCTGACGCTGTACACAGAGTCCAGACCTTCTTCTCAACGTTCCTCTTCCCTCCCCCGTGTCTTTTGTGCCTGTCACCCGCTGCCGTCGCAACATAACGTGGTCAACTTGTGGCTGACAGCATCAAGGTTGACAATATAACCCTCACAAAGGTATGCACAATGTGCCAGCCATGAATGAAATCGACCGAATTGAGCCGAGCGGCTAAACAATACCGTCTGTGCCAGACTGTCCATTAGCTAGACTCTCGTTGAACTCGCAGTTACGCTAACTGCGTCTCGCCTAGAGTTCTACACCCTGTAGAAGGCCTATTGACACGGAGCGGATGCTTTATCCATCTGCAAGTCGATTTGTTGTAGAAACATCGTCATATCCAGGTTCTATTGCTGATATGCCTGCTGGACCCTCCGCCTGCTCCGTCACTCTAGGATTGATCGTAGGAAGTATGAACGGATGCACTGTCAACTAGAATCTACCTACAGAGCTCCTTGAATTCTCGGCTCCATTATTCATTCAAGTGAATACAAATCATCTGCTGCGACAGCACTCGAAATGTTCGTGCAGGATGCTCCACACAGGACATGATATATCTGGGCATGAATAAAAACGCTGGAGCAGGCCGAGGGGCTCGCAGCCCAGAGACTGAGCAACCGAGCTGGAATGAGGTGAAGCTACGCGACAACATGCTAGAGACCTAGTCTACACGCTGACTAAGCTATGGAAAGGGCCGACTGAGGCCCTTGGTGCGTGACTCTTGCCCTTGGGACCCCCGGTCCAACGCGTTTCGAATGATGCTCGTCCAGGATGTCTCGATCACTGCTGTTATTCGCTAGGCCATAAGGTGTGAAGTTCCCTGTTGATTTGACTGGTTTATATTGGCAGGATATTCTATCATTCTATATCATCCTACGTTGTTATTCCTTTATCATTGTCAACCCTACGGAACTTCCCGCGTAATAGTAACCTGCTGCACATTTTGACTTATCCTGCGACGAGGCCCGAAACTCACCACTTCGTCTCATCAGGTGGGCATCTGATTAGATCGGAATTGCGGAAAGTCCGTCACATCTGACAAGGCGACCTTGCATTCAATTTCGTCACTTGGACTCTTATCTTGCCAGCAGGAAGGTCGTCACCAAGTCTGAATGTGAGAGTTGCCACTTCTCGTCTCTGAATTGGTCGCCACTGTGTATGTCTTCCCACGTTCTATGAGTCTGATCGCACGCCCTCACACAATACCGTCAGGTACTTACTTGAATATCATAATTATGCAAACAAGTCGCATTGTGGATGCCGTCCACGATCTTTGACGGTGGAGGTGCAGTAGTCTGGAGACCACCTGGATGTGATTCCTGTTTTTATTTGATCCTAACCATAGGTATGCTAACGCTTGTTCTCTTGACAAAGGACTTTAGTATGCAGGCGGTAATCTCTTCGCTGCATGCTCCTGCTCCCAGTTCCTTGGTGATACATTAAAAGTGAAAAACGTGGGTTTGTTTATCCGGACAAGCGTACCTATATACTACGCTGATTTGCATATGCGGGATTCCAGCGAACAAATATCGTAAGCCATGGTTCCTATTAGGCATGTCAAAATTAAATAAGGTTTCTGCTGTTGCATGGTAGCACTTCGCAAGTGCCGGAAGCACCCCACGACTTCAGCTATACATGGCACAACAACCAATGCAGATGTCGGCCAAGAGGTGCATGACCTGAGGCATCAAGGTACGACTTTGCTGCCAAGATCACACACTGCATAACGCTGCTACATGGCAAGTGTCTGGATAGACCGGTCGCTAAGTATTGGTCAACCCATTATTTGAAGGTAAGATCATGATTTGCACAGTCAATGTTCGAATGTTCTGTTTCTGATGTTGTTCTTGGCATGTACGCTGGCGATCCTATCGGATAAAGCGATAGTCCTGATAACTCGGTCTGTTTCATTCTGCGTGTTCTTTACGTGTTCCAACGAATGTATCGTGAACTGCCAGCACCAGCCTGAGAACCATCACATTGCAGATGGCAAACTGTTACTCGCCTCGTGCGCGTGGAATATATACAGTTGCTGTCGGATTTGATTCAGCCAGCGATATTCATGAATGTCCTCCTCAACGCAGGTCCTACCGCAACCAATCCGCACTGACCCAAGGGGCATTTACGCAGCATTCTTTATTGGGTCTATCCTCACAGCATCGTTAGTAAAAATCATTTGCTCACTACGCAGATAAAGCTGAGCACTGCCCGTTGTCGTACCATACCCCATGGATCAGGCTGTTTGGTCTAACTAGCATTCAAGCTTTTATCTACTTTCGGACGCATGCTGGTAGATGGACAAAATTTTATAGGCTCATCGTACGTCCGGGCGTGTCTTCTATTCAGTTCAGTTTTGTTATTGACGCTATATCAGGTCTTGTTTCTTTGGTAGGTGTCGCTTTGAGTTGCATTGGCAAGCACGTCAAGATGGTTTAGGATACTCGATGCTACGCATACGACGTTGGTCGTCCATTGCGTCTATTTTTATTTGGTGACCAACCTCGCAAAAATCCCTACGCTCAGAGAGGTTGTATGGAGTTTTAGAGTGAGTTTTTACTTGGGCATTTCGTGCAATTCCTGCTATAGTGTTGATTGGATTTGTGCAGCTTCAGATTGTGTTCAACGTAAATCATTTCATAAGCTCCGTGGTCCGTCTCAGACATGCACCCGCAGATTCTCATCGTCAGTGTGATACATATGTGAATTTGATGTGCACTGTGTATGTAACACTCTACTAAGTCATTCTTGGTTTATAGACTGTATTGTCATCGCATATGGATAGGTATTTCTTCGCTACAAATGCGTTTGACACGACTGATGCGGCGAATCTAGTTGGCAGAGATCGCGCAAGATTTTTTCGTATAATACCGGTGCGTTTTCCATCGAAAGTCGCATTCTAGTCTTGTCATCTCATTTTGTCGTTTAGGGCATAGTCATCGTCTCAGGTTCAGGTAAGCTCAGTCTGTCAATTGGAACGCCCTTCACTTTAACTTTGAAAAACTATTTAGGTGTTGCCAGCTGTGAGTGTTTAACGGTACTTACTCTTGGCGTTGGCTCATTTTAACCCGATCAGTTCTGATTTGGGTATTGTGAGTAGACATAGTTATTCTTAACACAGCGAAGTGCTGATGGTGAACAGATATAATCACAAAATTCCGACTGGAATGTTTTTGAACCGGTGGACCGTTTTCATGGCTTTCGGCGTAGCTACTTTCCTGGATGTGCTCATTACATCCTCGCTATGGTATCTCCTCGCTAGCTCCCGCACTGGGTGCTCTGAGTAAGGAGTACTCCGTTCACTCCAAGGATCTGATATTCTACCAGATTATTCTAGCACGGATTGCTTGATCACGAAGCTCATTTTTTATACCATCAATAGTGGTTGTCTGACGAGGTAACAATTCTTCCAGCTCATCCCATATCTTGACTTATCTTTTATCCAGTATATGTGCATTGACATCTATCACCATAGTAAGGTTCCAATCGTTGTACCCTCCATCCCGGCTCTCAGGTCACCTACAGTGCGCAGTGATGCCATACAGCTTCGTCTTCTTCACCCTTCAATTTTTAATAGCCAAACGTACGAAACAATGCATTCTCCGAGGATCGTGCTGACCAGTAGATTCATCTCAAGTCTACGTCAACTCGTACATCGCACTTCTGAACGTGGGATACTACACACAATCATCCAACGCAAGTCCCATCAATTCTTTCGAACTTCGTGAGCCCCGGAGAGACTCCAATGACACCAATCCCGGGCTGGACGATCTGTCGCAGGAGAAATTCCCATCATTTCGGAGAAGCATGCTCGCTCATCCCGAAGTTGAAGTGGCATCTCCCACTCGACCCTTGGGAGCTGCCATGGTCAGTAGTTATGTTGCTATAGTGCTATATGAGGAACTAATGACACGCTCCAGCCACACCGGTCGATTTTGGTGACGGTGCAGAAGGAGTCTTTCATAGACATGTAAATGAATTATCCGTCCATCTGGTCATGAGACAGAATCCCAAAATTTTCGGTTTCCTGTGAATGTAAACTATCAGTCTGTCGAGTGCAAGCAGTTAACGTTTCAAGTTCGATGTGTCAGTAGATCCTCGCTCCTTTGGGCAGGACGACGTTGGATTCGAGCCGGGAACTTCGGAATCGTCGTATAGGCATACATGCGGGAGGGAGATGTCGTGTTCTGTTCATATTCCACCTATCACGGGCATTCTTGTCGATGCCCTTTTTGTGAAGGCAAGCATTCATCATTACCCTGAAGAAGTGTTCATAAGGATTGCAAAAGGGGAGATGCGAAAGGGCACCGGGGTCCTGTAGATTAGAATGTATTGTTCGGCCAGGAGTGTTTTGGTCGAGGAATGCTTCAGGCCTCCAGGACTCCTGCGAGAACATGAAATCTCAGACCGGACTTGAAATGGAATAATGCCATCATTGCTATCATGTTGGACCTGAATTTGGAGGCAGACATCGTCGGTACCAGCCTGGATTGTTTCAAACATTGATATTAAGAGTTGAACGTTTGAAAGCCTAGCAGTGTGTGAGCAAGCCAGTGGTCAGAGTTAATGATGCTATCGTTTCAGAAAAGTTATCCAAAACAAAACAAAAAATTCACTGCATACCGGTTCACACTGACTGGCCCCTTGTAGTAGTTTTCTGATCGTGCTAGCTTCTACTCAGTGCCTCGTATGCACAGACTGTCAGCTTGAGCTTCGTGTACCACAACTTCTGAGGGCCACCCTAATGTGGATACTCGATTCACAAGGCTAGGTTACTAATAGTGGACATGTCTATTGTCCCTGTATCACAATTGAGTAAGGGGCTTTCCAAACCGGGTAATCTGTAAAAGGCTGTAACAACCCACAGCGCCACAGGCGTGGGCCTGAGGCAGTACGTATTAATATGAAGCGACGGACAAGCTTTAAGGCTGAACTCGACCAATCCACTCGCTTAAATACATACTGTCTGCATTCCCTTCGTTATCTGTGTAGCAAGTTACATTTCGAGCTACATTTCTTCCCTAATAATGTCCGAAGCTGAGTGCCAGTCTCGCCGTTTGCCCACGTTGGTTACCTATTGTCAGCGTGGTGAGTTGTCTATCGATCGTGTGCGGCTGTATGCTGAAGTGATCGTCTTGTACAGTCCTCTCTACATACACAGATTGTGCGTGCCGAAGATGTCAAACAATATCGTCCAAGACTAATGCAGGTCATTCGTGCAGCCATAAGCAGTTTGGGAGACGATGCTATACGATATGATGTGATTAAGCCGGTACTGGAATGTTGCTCTGCAGATACCCTTCTTCGTCTGGAACAATCATCACCCGTTCGTCCCATCTCCTGCTTATCGTGCTTTCATTCCTGATCCACCTCCTGCAGTATCTTGAGAATGATACCTCTGGTACGTTCAATGGATTCCAACGATCTCTCCACTGCTCTCTAACATTACCAAAGAAATATGGCAACGATTATGTTGGAAAACGTTTCCCCTCTTAGCCGAACAGTATTTCCAAGAAGGCTCTGAGGCTCCCGAATCCTGGCGCGAGCAATTTTTCGTAAGCCTTTTCTTCAATTTCTGGATACTTTCTTGACAAAAGATTGGAATAGTTATTACGAGAGGCAGAGGCCGAACGGCTTGAACAAGCGGGTTCTCGGCTCCGCAGTCAACGCATGGAAGCGGAAGAACGAAAGAAGGAACGTGAGGTCAAGATTACCGATCGCCTACCTCCCCCAAAACGTGCTCGAGGGTGTATGTTTCCTCTTTTTGAATTCCTTCCAGTGGTTAATTGCTTTGTATCAAGGGGGAGCGCCGAGTCAGCCCAAGACACTCTTCCAGAAGACCAAGAATGACGCCACTAAATTCCGTAGCTCCATGTACTCTGCCCGTGTCATTCCTCCTAAGCGACAGCGCACACTGCACAGTTCACCCGGTATAAAGCCCGCAGCACCCAGACCTTCCGAGCCAACCAAGAGCATGGTCACTGTCAAGACAGTCACCTACAAACGACCGTCTATCCCACCCGCACCGCTTCAGTCATCTGGCCGACCTACCACGCCATCGGTCTTAACCCCTGCTACTCCTCCAAAATTGGCTGCTTCTCCTCCTTCTGCTCGCTCGTTGAAACCTTCACCGATAGTACAGCCACCATTCACAGGGGAACAGCGGCCGATTAAGCCTTCAATAAACAAGAAGGATCCCATGGCTTCTCTATTCATGCCGAAGCACCGCACCCTTTCCCAGCGTCCAGGACAGACCGGTAATGCACGCATCATGCCGACCCGATAACCTTCAAATTGAACCATTCGTTCCACTGCACACGTTCTACTCATAGATTTCATTTCGCACTTGCATTTTATTTCTTAGGGTCATCATCTATTATACATCGATTGTACGACTGTCTCAGTAGTGTATGCCTAGTGCAATTGCTTTCCTCTCTATTCCTATTGACCATAATATTGTTGACATTACCATCTGTTAGACGTACATCCCTTCAACCCCGCTCCTCACGCAGAAATGCTCTCTAGGCGACAGAATCTATCTATCTATCTATCTATGAAACAGGGAATATCAAGAAACTATTGTAGTCTACTCGATGTTTACGGAAGAAAAAGCAACCAGGTGACTGTCAACTGATATTCCAGGTGTTGTGTAATCCAACTGTGTCGTCCGCGCCGTTGACTGGACCACCAGATGCCACTATGTTCACCCGATTGTGAAGTCCATTGGCCCTACTGCCCTCACTTTGGCCTTCCCGTGAGTTCACGGCCACCTTGTTCTTAACGTTGTCCGCACGAAGTGACTCCAATCGGTGCAAATACTCTTCATTGACACCACCGGTGACATACTCTCCTGTGAATACGGAGCAATCGAACGTCGAAATAGATGGGTTGAACTGTCGCACGGATGCGATGAGGTCGGGAAGAGTCTGGAACACAACAAGATCTGCCCCAATAGCCTCGGCTATCTCTTCAGCGTTGCGTCCATATGCAACGAGCTCTGTCCTTGAAGGCATATCGATACCATAGACATTCGAGTGCCTGAATTTTTGTCAGCTATCTGGCAAAGGCTCATTGGCATTGGTAGGAGTTACCGTATAGGAGGGGCACAGCTTGCGACGATGACCTTTTTTGCACCGACATCCTTCGCCATCTGGATAATCTCCTCTGAGGTGGTGCCGCGAACGATGGAATCTAGAACATGTGTTACGAGATGTTGGGTTCCAGCTGTTCTAATCTTACCATCAACAAGGAGAACATTCTTCCCGGAAAACTCCAGCGCCATTGCGTTTAATTTCCTCCTAACATTCTTCCGTCTGTAAAAAGTCTCGGCATCACTCATTCGTGTTTATGGTAACCCATGCGTATTACCTCATTTGTTGACCTGGCATAATGAATGTCCTGCCGACATAGCGATTCTTAATGAAGCCCTCTCGGTAAGGCAACTTGAGCTTCTGAGCGAGATTCAAAGCTGCAACACGAGATGTATCAGGAACCTGCAAAACATCTTAGACCAAACAATCGTAGACAGCGGAAACGACTGACTGGGATGACGACATCCACTGTGATGCCACGTTCCTTCAAAACCTTGTCAACTTCGATAGCAAGTGCGTCGCCCATAGCCATTCGACTGCGGTAAACGCTGATGCCGTCAAGCACAGAATCAGGGCGAGCGAAGTAGACAAATTCAAAGATATCTGGTGCAAAGGTCGCATGAGCTCCAACGTGTTTCCTGGAAACCCCTGACCGAGTGATGATCACTGCTTCGCCTAGTACCGCCAATACAACCCATCAATAGCTGCAGCTGACGATGGGAACAAGTACCTACCGGGCTTCACATCCTCCCATCCACTAAAGCCCAAAGCATCAGCGACGATGCTCTCGCTTGCAAAGAGGTAGTCTCTCCCAGTGTCGGTTTTCCTGGAAGCCATTCCGACTGGTCTTATGCCATTTGGATCCCTGAATGCAATAACCCCGAAGCCAGCGAGCATTGCAACACACGCATATGCTCCTGTGCACTGCCTCATAAGGCCTCCTATAGCAGTGAAAATATCGTCTTCGTTGATACGAAATTTGCCTGTCTTCTGGAGATTGTCGGCGAAAAGGTTGAGCAAAAGTTCGGAATCAGATGAAGTGTTTATATGTCTATGTGCGGTGGCGTCCATATATTGCAAGAGTGATGGGCTGTCTATGAGGTTTCCGTTCTAAGCATCACCTTCAGTCGACTCTAAGGAAGAAACTTAAAAGACAGACTCACGTGGGCGAATACAATACCATATGGTGAATTGACGTAGAACGGTTGTGCTTCGGCGTGGTCCGAGCTACCAGCAGTTGGATAACGAACTACAGTGTGGTATTATAATAGTTGACAGGATCGCATAACTGGGAAGGCTTACCATGGCCAACCCCCATACCTCCGATCAATTTTGCGATAGCTTTCTCATCTAAGACATCCCGGACCATGCCGTTGGCTTTGCACTGGAAGAATCGGCCCTTAGGTCCACACGTTACGATGCCACATGCATCCTGTCCCCTGTGCTGCAGCAAGGAGAGAGCTTCAGAAATCTCTGGTGCTGCATCAACCGATGGATCATGGAGCAGTAACCCTAGAATACCACACACTAAATCGGAGACCTGTCAGAGGGTCTAGCATCGAGATTCAGCACGATCAAGAAACGAAACTCACTCGCGGACGCGGTCCGGGTGGAGGAAGAGAGAGTAGGAAGACAGCGAGCTTGGAGATTACAGTTTATGGAAGAGCAAGAAGAAAGAAAAAGCGACGGCCCGGTGCACGTGCAACTTGGTCATTGTTTGTATTGACTCCATGTCCGCAGTCTGACAACGCCAGCGTGGTCTCCACAGCTACAAGGCTCAGCGCTCAGGTGTTCATGTTGCCCATGTGATATCTCCTGCTTCTATCCAGCGTAGTATCGATCACACGTGGTGGTCTAGTCCACAGCTCATCTTCAAGGTCTCTCGGCATTTTCTAAATTTTCTACACAACCAACGGCATCCTTGGATATGTCCAAGACTCCGATCCATGATGAAGGAAACTGTGTTCCTTCAGCCTTAACGGCGGAATCAGCCTGTCTCGAGGGGATAAGTTGAAATTGCGGTTACATGAAATATGCCTACCTGGCGGCATCATTTCCCACTCAAGCATCGGGCCATCGGTCCCATCCTGTAGAGGACTTTGTGACTCGGAACTCTGCGAACTACTATGGAAGTTCTGGACCATCAGTACTGATCTTTGTGCGACACATCTCACCTGGCGCACTAAAAGGTCCACTTCGAGATAAGTACTTTGTTTCATCTATCTCTTTTTCTCATCGCGAAGAAAGACAGTGATTCTCTCAAGTTCTATTTTTACTTGATCACACTAGCAGGTACCCCGAATCATTGGGGCGGCGATAGACTCCACACTGCATAGAACAAATCAACCATGGAGGACACAGGATCAGCGCGAGAACGATTCGCCGCCTTCTTAATTCAAAGATTCACCGATATCAGGGGCCACGCTGGGTCATGATAGATAACCGGAGGGTTCGAACAGTGTGAGACTCGGAGTTCGAGGGATCTGGCTGATATGATGCCAGATGGCGGTGCGAGTTGGCGGTGCGAGTTGGATGCCTTGGCATGGATGGATGACAATTAGAGTTGTATTAGGTCTGGCACTGGGTAGATATCATGATATGGTCAATTAAAATAATATTTCATGCCGTACACGATGTGAGGCCGTGTAATGATGGCATCGGTACACTCGAGGTACAAGGCTTCCATGTACAAAGGCACGGTACTCAAGTGACAGGGTTATGCGACACACAAGGTTGCAACAGGTACGGATGCCTTCATAGCGTTGACATTATGTCTTAGCGAAACCGCAAGGGTTAGTCGGGACATTCCTGCAGCGTCGTTCCTACCTAACTATACTGCATGCATACTAGGATGGTGAGTATCATGGTGTGGGTAAGTGGTAGTAAGTGTTACAAAACAAGAATACAGTACTTGATATAGGGCCAAGATTAGTTAAACAGGTCCACACCGATCGATATATCATATTACCACCCTATTCGTGTCTGTCATACCAGGGAAGTGTATAACCGAAAATATTACGCCATTGTTGCCTCCGTCCAGCCACCAAGCACAGGAAGTTCGGCCACCCCAAAAACAACGTTTGGGACGCCTTCCTCATCGTTAATCCTCCCTGTGGTTACGCCCAGGTTCGGATCTTTAGTACCGTCACTTAGTTGCGACGTGGCCGAATCTTCCGATGAGTTCTTAAAGCGCATTGGGGAGAAAGGGTCAGGCATGGAGATCAGGACACAGACGGACGCGGAGTCATCTGAGGAAGCAGAGTGTCGAAGAATTGTGGCTGGATGTGGGTCAGGAGATGTGGAGTGTCGCTTGAAGCGCGCGAGGAACGAGGGTCGCTGTTGCTGTATGGATTCATGAGGTAATTGTGATTCCGCAGTAGGTTCGACCCTGTGTGTTAGAAGAACCGCCACAGGCTGTTGAGGGAAAGTATCAGCCAAGTCCTGCCAAATGACTACATGGCTTGAAACAGACCATGATGGCTTGCCACTGGGATTTCTCCCGTGAGACATCCTGTTCAACCCACGCTTCATGTACGCTGGGTTTCTCTCCGATGTACCGTGAAGTAAGACCGAGTGCTGTGGGTTGTAGGTCAATATAGATTCCTTGTGCCAAAGCGTCTTCAACACGCCGACGAAAGCGACGGCGCACGAGGAAGGAGCGGAATATAATAGAGGCGGAGATGAGCAGGAGGACGAAAAGGGTGGCGAGGAACGTGAAGCTGGTTGTAGAGTTCATCGATATTGTTACAAGGACCCGCACGTAACGTATCGAGGAAATATATGAAATAGGAGATCAAAACGAAGAAGGGGAGAGAAACGTTTTGCGAATGCGAGATGAAACGTTCAGAATGCAGTGCATGGGATGATGGAGCCTGTGTTAGCCTATGACGCTTATGTGGGATCTGGCAACACATACAGATATAGCGTGGTCGATGTAGATGGCGGTTGGTTACCTCCAGTGCTGGAGGCTTGACTAGTCGGCTGATCAATTGAGCTAGTAAGAGTAGGCGTCGAGGATGACAGCGACGGTGAAGAAGACATTAAGATTATGCGAGCTCGTCGGATGGAACGGTAAGGTTCGTTACCGTTACTTACGGCCACTTTATAAATTACCGTGGGAGGACCCTGTGCACCAAAATCTTGGGATCAAGATTCTGCTTATATAATGAGTAACTGATGGAACTGCCTCCCTATGCGAATAAAATCGCTGCTATTGAGCCATGTAGATCTAGCGCTCATTACCTTTCCTTCTTCCCATCTACCATGTCGACGAACACGACAACCCCGACCCTCCCTCCTTCATTGGATCTTCCGCCTCATCTGTCGGCTCAAAAGTATTTCTTCGTCTGCACGCTCACTGTCTTGGCCTGGGATGCCCTCGTTCTCACTCCCAGGTCCTACAGGCTGGGACGTCTGCCAAAATGGCCAGCTTTGAAGTTCATGTATTACTTCATGCAATTTTGGGTCCTAGCGGATTTTGTTGTAACAGGTGCATTTCCCTCTCTAAGCCCGTCTTATCGTGAGACCTCGGGCGTTAACCTGAAACGCGGTTACAGGTGTAATGTTCTTTAGTACGACAGTCATACAAGACACGGACTGCGTCGCCTTCTGGCCTTACGAGCCAATTTGTACGGCAATTCTCATGGCTGTTGCATCCGCTGTACATGTCATGCGCATATCGGCTATCTATGACCACGTTCAAAATGTTCGCGCAACTATGTGGGGATTATACGCTGTGCAGATTATCGTCACTGCCCTTTGCTGCGGGTTCTACCGCTCTGTCCATCTTGAAGATGGCCAGGGATGCATCGCTGGTCCCTTGAATAACGCAAGCTGGGTTGGAATTTACTGGCTAGCTCCAACCCTGCTCTACGCTACCAGCTTCGTCCTCGCTTCTCTACGCAGCATTAAAACGCTCGAAACCAGGCGTGTATCTTACTGGCGTCTCATGCTTCGTGATGGCTTGAACCTGTACGGTGCCATTCTCCTTGTAAACCTCATCAACGTCTTCTTCTACTTCATCATGACACCCACGGGTCCAACCGACCCCATCAAGACGATTGTCACCAGCATGGCAGCTGTGCTTACAACAACAATGTCTATGCGTATCATCCTATCTGTTAGAGGGGACCTTACCAACGGTGGCACCTTCTCTATTTCTTCCCACGCTGCTTCCTCATCAGGAGCCAATACCCACTCGCTCTCTGGCTCAGGGAATAGACCAAGAGGGGTTAACCACACATTCACACTCGGTGATATGCGTGATGCCACCGTAGCCGTGGCCGCTCGTAAAGAGGGAGGAGAATGGGATGCTGACAAAAGCAGTGTCACCCCTCGCGAGGAAACCAAGGCTGTACTTCCAATCATTGGGGAGGATGTTGATAGTGGTATACCCCGTGCGCGCAATGGGTTGGGCGTTCAAATCACAGTCGATCAGCAAGTCGAGTACGATGATGGATTTCCCACGAGGAAGTAGGTTTGGGAATCTGAAGGAGCAGGCGCGCTTGCTGTCAATACATGTTTGTTTGGCCCTTGTCTATGATGGTTGACATGCTATATCCTGCGCTCGTATTTTTTGGTGTTCTGCTCGTATTTATACCGCTTGTTTACTCACAGTATTCCCTACGTACCTCAGCGTTCTACACGATGCCGCTATTATTGCCCAGGATTTCATGGATACATTGTATACCAGATGTACTGCTTGAATATAGATAAAATTTAGGGCCTGGTTATTTCTCTAGCTGCCACAATCACAATCTATCTGATACTGATGATCACCTGTACGCGCTGGTCCATAGACAACAACATGGCTTCGATGCAACGGAGAGATACTATCAATGAAGACGAGTCCGCTAGTTCAAACGTTCATCATTGATACGATGGAAAAGTACGTAAATCCGGTCATCGGACACCGAAATTTAATAAAGCCATCTTTCCGTGGACAATTAATAGCTGGCCTGTGCTTAGTTGGGACCTCTTTTTGTCTATCTTTCCCAAAAAAAATCGGATCAAGAGGCTATATACGGGCGGTGTACGCTGCAGTGCATGGACTCGAGATAAGACGCATCTTGTATGCTTGTATTCATGAGACACGGTCAACCGTCGGACTTCCTGGCTATGTCTCTGATCGTTGCATGTGCGAATATCCGGGTTCCTGATGCGTTCGTTCGTAGACCTCAGTATGTGTTCGAGGTCCGACCTCATCAATTCAAATACACTGACATAAGGTTGCAGCGCCCGTGCCGCGGTGTGGAGATATCATTTTACAAATTTGATAGACTAGCCTACTTAGTAAAATTGATCGCACCAACGTCGATTGTGGGCGCACTAGTGGACACTACCAAAAAGTTCGAGTCATTAGCCGGCCCCACTCATCTCGCAAGATATGGAAACAATGGTCCACGCAATCGATCCGAATCATGCTGAAGAGAGAGAATTCATTTCCATTGTCACCTCAATCGGCCGCCGCGGCTAAAGCAAATGACATCAGTCCTATTCTGTCAAGAGTGGTGCAACCACTGACCATGACAGCCTGAACAGGTCGAGTGATATGCAACACTTCATCTGGACGATTGAACATGCTCTTCTGAGATGCCTGTTCCTCGTCCTGCGACGTCCCAACGCGCAATCTCGGGCGGTAGATGTCATAGCGCACATGGCATTCGGAGGAATGCATTGCGTCTGCGTTGGGCTCCGCGTAGTATCCCGCGTTCATAAGTACGATGAACGAGTTAATATATACTATGATACCATGAGTCAGTGTGATCCTCCTCGTCGAGGAATTCTTTGACCATACGTTTAAACATTAAAAATTCGACAGCTTCAAATACGAAGTTCTCCGATATCACTGCACACTGTAGACAGTCAGAGAGAAGATAGGCAGAACAAGAGGTGTGAGCTCACCGTAATGATAGCAGCCATTGAACACATACTGGATGAAATATGAGTCAAAGTATGGGGTAGGCTGGAATGAGGAATACCTCGTCAGACAGCCTGTATTGATGATATAAACCATGAGCTTTGATATAAATAAGTCCGTTCTAAGTACTATATGTCAGTATTTCAGACCTGACAGTATATGGACTGTAACTCGCCTTGGGAACCCAGTACGGGATGTAGCGAGGAGATAATACAATGATGATGCGATGAGGATATCGACTACGGCAACAGGGCCCAGATAAACGTATATTGCCCACTCTATTTTGACCAAATCGGCGGTTGCGTGGACTTTCAGATACCTTCTCACTATCAGCACTTAAGAACGGTTGGGGAGTCCGATGTCTCACTCACATGAACCAAATAATGACTTCATTGTGTTAAATGATGAAGCAACAATAGTATCAAATAACTCTCACCGATGGTAAAACCTGAAAAAATACTCAGAGATTGAGCGAAGAGCATTACCAGGTAACGGGACTCACCTAAAGTTAGGATGACGGCGATGCCCTAGTGGCGGATCAACAGAATGAAACATAAGTCTTGATTAAGGAATCGATAGCAAACCTACCACTATGATCGCCAGAACTTTCGATCGACCCTTGCTAACTAGGTCCACTGCATAAGTCATAACACATCTGTTGATAGAGAGGAAATACCTGTCCATATGCGATGAACATATAGACTACGGATTCAGAAAGCATTGAGTGAATACTGCATATAACACTCTACATCGAACTCACAGATGCACCGCAAAGATGCTGGAAGCCTGTGGAGTGCATGTGGGAGGTGAAGCATAGGGCTTAGGACGTATAACTTACAGCGACTACTGCCTGCAGCTGCAGAAGCATATCAATATGATACATAGTAGAGGCTCAGGGAAGAAGTAGTAACTCACTTTGGCACTCCATACGATTTCTGTGAGCGCACTGATGTTCGCGTGGTTGATCACTAAATAAAAATACACGCAATGGACGATTAGGGCCAGATGCAGAGCATCGAGTATCCTAAAAGTTTGGGGTGTGGTGTTATCTCGACGTGCTCGACAATCGCAACGCTTACCAAAAGCATATGACCTAAAATAGCATCAAGTATCAACAACAGAAACCGACAGGGAGGCAGCATAGACGTACGACCAGCTTGTAAAATGTTATCCCTGTACCACCGTGGCTATGCGTCCGAATGTAGATGAAAGCTTGGACATTGGTGACACCAAAGAGACTGTTTCGTGAGAGGAAACATTCGACTTTGACTGAATGAATGAACAATTTACTTACATTGCTGCGAGGATAACCCCGATAAACAGCACCCCGAACGTGCTCGTGAGTTGATGTGGGATGAGGTCTTGCGAAGCCATTGGTATTTTTGACTAGGCCAAGTCAACCAGTAACACAGTGTTCCACCATGTTATATATTCCACAGCACGGAAAATGTAGTTAGCATTTTTTCTGTGATGAATGTCGGGTTTTGGTGCTGATGAACCATGGTGGAGGTACATCTTCTACGATGAGGATGAAACGTGTATCATGAGGGACGCTCTTAAGTTCATCAAAAAGAATTACTTACTTGAGTTGGTACCATATGCATACCACTGCCATTGCATTGGACATTGATTGAACACAGAACATGTTACACATGTAGTTGACACTGAATTTTCATTGATTGATCCGGTTGCTCGAATTCAATTTCCGCAGTGATATAAATTTATGATTGTTCCTCATGCACACGCGGAGCATCTCGGCCCGCCTCCGTCGAACGGTTTCTTCCAAAGACCCCGAAAGTTGAAACGCGGCGAGAAAATCGACCTCTGATCCATTCGTGCTTTATCTTCACGGATATGTTGGCCTGCTTCTTGTCGATTTCCACTGGGACTCATGTTCATGCTAACGATGATCAATATTATGAGCTGTACCATAGGTTTTCGGTGGTTGAAACTTGACGTTGTGTCATGAGTCCTCCCGTCGCAAAAAGTTTTTGTTTGGGCGCGTCGGGCGACTAAGCATACACATCCTTGTGCTCAGTCTTGATTGTTTTGCCGCTCTTGAAAGCTTGACATCCCACACTCTTGCCCTCCCGTAGGATCCGTTCCCAACTCGATTACCATCCACACTCCAGCACGCTGACGACATACGTTCAGCGTGTCTTATCCATTTTGCAACGACCTTTCCTGTCCCAACATCCCACAACTTCACTTTCCATCGTCACTTCTACTGGCAACTGTCTTGCTGTTTGGAGACAATACCATTTTGCACACTCCTGCTTCCTTATCCCCTTCATTTCGTCAGTTGTGCCGCCTTCCAAGTCTTGTATTCGGAGTGAGCCATCCACCGAACTTGTGAGGATGCGTCATCCGTCAGGCAGGTGCACAACACCTTGTACCTGAGCGGTATGGCCTTGCATCGGCCTGCGGGGCATGATCACTAGTGTCTCTTGCATCTTACTGGTCTGGGAAGACACCTCGGCGCTGGAGGTCTCAAGTATGCAGATCGCGCAACATGTATGTGAGAGAACTTCCGAACTGTATAAGTTGCGGGTGTGATTCTAAAATGTGCAAGACATCCTTGTGGGTATCTAATGTCGCTGGTGAGCATGCGAATATGTTGCAGAAAACCCTTGAGTATCACCCACGACAAACCTTACGCTCAAATCACCAGCAATCAGCGGGCGTTTGGATCGGAGTCGAGGAAGTCAGCTATCTATTCGTTCAAGCCATTTTTAAGGTTCGTTCCATGCGGTACCTTCGTGTTTGTTTTATGCTAAGTGCTGTATAGATGAAGCACTCAGGTTCGCAATTGGCGCCACGTGCATCTTTCTGTACGATGGACTATCTCGATGGTGGCAACAACGTTCGACGGGGAGCAGCACCTGCTCTCACCTTCAGAAGTTTCTTCCGGCCTATGTTTGACCTCGATGTCATCAAATCTTCAAACTGTTTGTGACCGTGTTCAGAAGCCTGCTAGCTATGTTATCCGTTTTCCTTGTTCTGGTGAAGATCCGTCCATCATCATTTTCGTTACCAGTGCCTTGCAATGCCATGATGCACCAATCATGTCATTGTAACCATCTCAGACACATCCACTAAAGTCGACTTGTGTTTTCAACCACCTAAGCAAAGTAACTTCACTTTGCGCGAAAAAGATCGACACTTTACTGTAATACGGGTCTAGCCATTCCCCGTTTTCTCCTTCCTCCATCGACCAACTCCCCCAATTATGTACTTGTCCACACCATTGTTCGAAGTTCGAGGGCCATATGATGTCCCCGTCAGGAGAATGATCATCACCAAAGTCTGGTAATCAGTCCACGCATGTTCATTTCTGACAGTGGATTGAAATCACGATCCACATTTGTTTGATCTCTTGGATTTGGAGAGGTCTAGGGCCAGGTATTCGGTAAACTCTTCAACATCTATACATAGTTTTTCCAACTCCAAGTAGATCATTGAGCATCAGGAGACGTGTCTGCTCCCGATGGCTTCCTTTTACCAGATCTTCGTCTTGCAGGTGTACGTCTTATCTGCGGGATGAAGATCTGGATGGAGGACCAGCAAACAATTGACTGTCAAAATCCTATGACAGATTTTCAAAAATAACTATGAAGTATGCGTCGCTACTACTTACTACCACTGATCATCCTCGTTGATCGAATTTCATAATCGAAAGAATCCGTTCCCTGCAAAATCAATCTCGACCATCTTTTGAGGTTCTTGATTCTTCCGGGGGATCGTTACATAGTAAGGATCGTGCCACGCTAAGGTATCTGATAGGTACTGAGCTTGATCTACTATGTTACAAAACTAGGATGGAATCCTACAGATCGTTGAACGCCGCTTGGCAGACTTCGTAGATTTGCAGTCGCAACGCTACAACTGCACGACTCAGATCAATGTATTTGTTGTATGTACATCGTGATGGATGCCTTACTGGTACGTTACAGGTGCACTTGATAACTTAAAGCTCTGTTTCACTTTCTCTACTCTTCCCTCATCTTTATCAAGAGTCGGCCACACGAGCGTAGCGTGATATTCTCGACGGGACGTCGATGCTTCTCAATCTATGGGAAAGGACGGGATTGATTATAGAGTCTAGATCATGCGTCTAGAGCAGTGGGGCTGCCATAACAGTTGAGAAGGGCAAATTATGCAATGTTGCAAGATAAAAACTAGTGGCACGAAAGTGGATTCAAGAAAGTAGGAAGCGACGAGCAAGCTAGATCGATGAACGTTAGTCGGAGGAAGATACTGGTTTGAACATGAGTGTTTTAAACCTGAGAGAATTGAATGAACGACTTCTTCCATCCAAACTACATAATATTACACCCGCCACTCCCTGCCATGAAGAGTCGCTAGTAGAACAACTGCTTCTACTTAGAGACCTGATAGATATAATCTAAGCTGGTAGTAATGTATCCAACCTGCAGATACTGATATAGTGGACTACATTCCTCGAGTTCCTCGCCACTGTGTACCGTTTTATAAGAGCTCGCAATATCCAGGCTATGACCCCTATCTCGTGCGCGGATAGACCATACTACATCTCATCCATCACACAGACGAGAAGGTATTCACATCCGTTGACATCGCAGTCGACTGCTGTGGCTAAAACGTGTCATTAAGTCTTCAATGACATAAGAACTAGCACCGACCTTGACAAATCGAGAGGGATGCACAGTTTCATCGTCGGGATGTTTAAACACGTTTTGTCGGGATGCCTGGAGCTCCTCATTTTCCGACGCCCTGATGTGCAGATCCGGGCGGTAGACCTCGTGGGGGTTGGGGAGGTAAGGATTGGTCGTGTCTGCGTTGACCTGCGTATAGTATCGTGCATTCAGGAGTGCGAGGAACGAGTTGATATATACTTGAAACAGGACTGCCGGTCAGCACAATTCTAGGAAAAGGTTTTGATCATACCGTCAGCCAATAAAATTTCAATAGCGAGGAAGATGAAGTTGCGCGGCATGACTGCGCACTGTAGACACCCTCAGAGAAGAGACGGACAACGCAATTTCTCGAAGCTTACTGTAATCATAGCTGCCGTTGAACACATGCTGCATGAAATATGAGTCAAGATATGGGATGGTCTGGAAGAAGGAATACCTCGTCAGACTGCCGGTATTAATAATGTAAACCATGAGCTTCGTTATGAAGGAATCGGTGCTGTGTATTTCGCGTTAGTAGTATCTCAGGGCCGGGTGATGAATGGATCGTTTCTTACCTAGAAAATCCAGTACGAGAGGTAGACAGGAGGTAACATAGTGATGATGCGATAACGAAGTCGACAAAAGTAATCGTGCCCAAAGTCATGAATGTCCACCACTCGATTTTAACCAGATCCGAGAATACGTGACACTGGTATCTGCCCACTATCAGCACTTCGTGTAGCTAGGGAGTACACAGTTTCACTCACAAGGCCCATATAAGGGCTGACATTGGGTTAAAATGATGAGCTAACAACAAGAGCATCGTTTAGACAATTACCGATAGCAACACCTGAAGGGATTTTGAGATTGAACAAACAGCATTTCCAGCTAACAGACTTACCTGAGAGTGAAATTTCGATTAGGCCCTGGCGACGACTCGGAATCAACAGACTGAAATGCTGTAGAACCTATAACAATTGCAAACTTACTACTATGATAGGGAGGGTTCTTGATCGGTCCTTGCTGACTAGGTATATTGCATCAGTCGTAGAAATCCATTGATAGGGAGACACATACATATCCATATGCGATAAACATACATGCTATGTTACAAGAATGTGTGGATTATAAGTTGCACATCACATTCTGCACATCAAACTTACAGATGTACCCCATAGACAATCACAAACTATAGAGTGCATGACTGAGGTGCACCGCAGAGCTTAACAAATATAACACACCTCAATTATTATCTGAAGCTGCATAAGCCCATCAATATCATAGTACTACGGAACTGCACGGAGGACTGCAATAAGAACTCACTTTAAAACTCCATACAATTTCCGTAAGCGCACTGACGTTTGCATAGTTGATTACTAGATAGTAGTAGACACAATGGCCGATCAACATCAGGTGCAGAGCATCGAGTATCCTAAGGTTTCAAAGAACTCCACAATCTTGACCCGCTCGGAAATGGCAACTCGAATGAATGCCTACCAGAGCCAGATGACCTGACATGAAGTTTAGAACAGAACTAATAGAAAGTGGTATACACGTACAGCCAGCTTATAAAATGTCACCCCTGTGCCCGCATGCGTCAGAAAGTAGATGAAAGCTTGAACGTTGCTTAAACCAAAGAGACTGTTCCGCAAAATAAGTCAGGACGGCAGGAAATGCACAGCTTTGACTGCATAATGAGCAAATCGTTTACGAACACTGCTGCAATGGTAACCCCAATAAAAAGTGCCCCGAACGTCTTCCCGATGTCAATCTGTGGTGTGAGGTCCTGCCCCGAGGAAGACATTGTGAGTTGTAATCTGCAAAGCGTCTAAACTCTACTGGTAGGTTACGGTATTAAGTATAATCGTGAAGCTAATGCATTGCCACCCGGGGTCTTACGAATGTGGCGAATCCTGCGTAGATGTCTTAATCATGTCTGATGGACAACTGGATTTAAAAAAAGACTTGCGATGCGCGCTCGCATTGTTCCTTTTGATGCAGATAAACCGAGGGTACGCGTTCACCTGTCGTATCGGCCATCGGGCTAGCATGACATCACGGTCCTGTGATTCTAAGTCCGAGACTAGTACTGAAAGGATTCTGAGATTAGGCCACATTGCACAGGTCGAACATTGGAGCAGATAGGAGCAGCCACATCAAAGTATAATTTGTGGCGCACCACGAGCTCTCTGTCAGCTGGGTTGGGTAACAGCCACAAGATGTAGTATGGTCACTAGGTGAGTCAATTACTAGTAGAGTCCTTCATCAACGTGCTAGCAAGTACCACGTGGTAAAAACACGGCAGGGTTCAACTCCGTACCGTTTAAAGCCACATTGGACAACGAGTCCCAGTGACTGATTCGATGGTTGTCGCGCCCGAGGAGCCACGTTTGGCTGTGGGTTTTCCTGATGGCCGATCGTCGTGGTTTGTTAATGATTACAATTACCTGTACGCGTAACGCGGTGATGCCAAGGTATCTGTCTGACATTATTAGGTAGCAAGATAGGGTTAAATTTGGTCGAAGGTGCTACGCTGGCCAGTTGGCCTGGTGTTGGGTGATCGCAAACTTAGCGATTTGGATGAAGAAATCTCAAAGTATGACATAGATGAGAGGGATCGCTGCAGTATCACTTGAGTCAGTATCACACTGTATAATATTTAAAGCGGAGTGTGTATCCAGTCGACACCGCCACCGGGAAACCCCTCCGCTATTACAAATTTAGTATATGTCACAAAATGTAATGGCCATTCGAATCTCGCGAAAAGGACGTTACTAATTCGAGGGGACCCTGGATGTGAAAAGCAATGCACACTGGATATAGAACACCAATGAGATCACGCAAACACGTCAACCACGATACATACGATGATAGTAACAATCCAATCACAGCTTCGACTTCGACCGTACCAAGTCACGCGCCCGATCGCGCAGGACACGACGCAACAGCTTCCCACTCGGGTTTTTTGGAATTACGTCCACAAATACCACCCCGCCAGCAAGGTGTTTATACGCGACCTTATTGTCTGCCACATGCTTAAAAAAGGCAACAGTCAGATCTGGTTCAAATGATAAAGTTGGTGAATGCGAGCTAACCTTTGTAATGGATACTTTAACCCTCCGGGCTTCAGCAGGATCCAAGGCAATCCTCTTAACTGCGTTGGGATGAAGTACCACAAACGCCATAGGAAGCTCCCCGCTGTAGCTATCGAGAATTGGCACTACACACGTATCTGAAACATCAGGATGATCGTGAAGACAGCCCTCCAGCTCTGCAGGAGCCACTTGGAATCCTTTGACTTTCATGATTTCCTGCAAAGAAAGTTGAATTTTTCGAAAATCGATACAAGGATGGGAGTATGACAGCATACCTTCAGGCGATCAACAATGAACACTTCAAGGTCCTCGCGTATAACAACTTCATCGCCAGTACGCAACCAACCATTAACGAAGGTCTCTTTCGTGCTGTTGAGCAGCAACTAAGCTCAAGCCAGTATATGCCATAGATGATTACTTACGCTTCATCATTGTTCAGATATCCTAGCGCTATAGACGGAATTTTCACTTGTAGTTCTCCAGGTTCGTTGAATCCCGCTAGGGTGCCATCGTCCTTGACAACTTTGGCAACGACGCCAGGTGACAGGCGCCCGGCACCGCCAGGAACCCCAAGCTTTTCGTCCGCGGAAAACATTGCGATAGTAGCGGCGGACTCGGTCATGCCTTAAAAATGATGAAAGACAGACGATATGTTAGTCAAAAAGCTGCCCTACCATAACCTTGACCTATCTGCGCGTTCGGCATAAGCTTCACTATCTGGTCAACAAGAGAGGCAGAGAGAGGGGCAGCTCCACACATCAGAAGCCTGACACCATTTAGATTGTAGTTTTTCACAGCAGGGTGCTGCCAGGAGTATCAGGAAGAGTAACCAGTTACCGCAAACGTCAACGCTAACCTTGCAAAACAACACGACTTGAGGTGGTACAAGTCTGTGTGAAAATTAGGATTCCTATGATAAGTCATGGTAATGGTGGCGACTCACAGAAGATGGCTTATACGATGTCTCACAATACTCTCTAGAAACTCCGTGAAGTTGAACTTGGGCATTACTACAACTGATAACTGCACGGAGTTGAGAAAGAGAGATGGTAAGGAATCAAGGAAACTCACACCACAAAACGTCATGAAGTTAATCTAAGGTGACCGCGTTTGAGCTATATGATCGGGTCGTAGAAATCCAACTTACTACAACTACCAGGCCATAAATATCTAGAAAAGTCACATACTTCAGTTTGTTGGACGATATACAATGGAAAGAGGTCACGTACGGAAGAAAGGTAGAACTTTACAAGAGAGGGTCAGCAACGTCACATCATGTCTATAAAGGCGCACCTCCTGCGACTACATCCCCTGGCCGATACCTCCGTTCTTCCCAAGGGGCATAGTTCTCGTTGACCTTCTGTTGCTGGGCCATCTGAATTACGTTCACGATGGGAGCATAATGTGGTATTGCAACGGCCTATCGCGACCATAGGTATGAGGCCTCATCCATCAGCCCAAGACTTGACACACCTTCGGTTTTCCCGTCGTGCCACTCGAAAAACTGAGGAATGCGACTTTCGTTTTTGCCTCTCCTTTCCGCAGCCTCCGCTCAACGAAATTTGGCTCACTCCGCAGCCCCTGCTGAATCAGAGCATCTACCGATATCTGATTCGACTCGTCGAAAGTGATGACGCGCTCGGATGGCAAACCGGCAGCCTGAGCAGCACCCAGTGCAGTGTGCAAAAAAGAGGAATGCGCGATAATCAAAGACGCGTTGACCACCTTAAGCTGATATAGCAATTCGCTGGTGTTATTCGCTGGATTTGCGCATCTGCGATAGAAGTCCGGTGGTGATCAGATGGGCGGTTCGAAGAAAGCGTGCATAACATACGACACGACACCACCTAGCCGATGTGTTGCCCATATGGCCGCCGCATAGTCTATATACAATAAGCAGTGAGTACATGTCCAGAAACGACTAGCGCTTAAATACCAATGTGGTTTGGGCTGAAAATGAGCACTAAGGCACAGCCAACATGAGTCTCGACGTTCTATGGTATGGCCCGAGGCGCCTAAGTACACGTTGCAAGCACACACCTAGATCATTCTCCTCTAAAATGAAATTGTCAAAAGAGGCTCTTACGGATCATGACGCTTTTGACGGAACTCACTGACACGAAACCGCAGACTCAGGCCATTCGCGAGTCCATAAGTTCTTGCACGGACCTTGAGCGCACAGTCAATATTGCTGACGTCATGGCTGTGAACTAGTACCCAACACACCTCTTCATGTCCAACACCTCTGCCACCGGCATCCTCGATGAACCATGGCACATGGCTCGGTCGGATGGGTCTTAATGGATGGGACGAGTCGAGGATGAACTGAGGTAAAGTAAGGTCATCGGGAACAGACGTATCGAGACTCGGACCATAAATTTCAGACATGGAAGGGCTTGCAGAATATGGGTATACAGAGAGCAGGAAGGAAGATGGGTGCTGACGGTTTATGACTTACGGGATGCCAAGTACTTCGTGTGACTTGTCCGGCAGGATCTCAGTTTTTTTAGTGGTGTCAGTTTAGATTAGGAACGGTGTCCGAATTGTCACCCCAGCCAGCTGGCCAGAGAACAAGCACGTTGGCTAGTTGCAACGTATTCAAATTTGACTCACAATTGTACTACTTTCTCCTTGTTTCGTAAAAAGAAGTACTGGGTAGGTAAAAGTTTCATGCGAGCGAGAAACGAATGTTTAGCGAGCAAGTAAGTACGGATGAGGTAAGTTAACAGCACCCGACAAGCTATATACATATACCCTCCAGCTCTTAGATTGACCCGTCATTGTATAAAACGAATCATAGCTTGGCCTTGAGCTCTCTTGCCTTCAATTGCCGAGCTCGATCACGAAGCACCCGTCGTAGTAGCTTTCCGCTCGGATTCTTTGGTATAACATCTATGAATTCCACGCCTCCCGCTAGGTGCTTATATGCGACCTTGTTATCTGCGACGTGCTGAATAACGACGTTAGCCCGACTGCCATCGCTTTGACATGAAATGGCCGAACCTTCATTATGGATGCCTTTACTTTGTCTACTTCACGGGAGTCTTTGCCCATACGATTCGCAGCAGACGCACGAAGCACGACGAACGCCAACGGAACTTCTCCGCTGTAGTCGTCCGGAATGGGCACGACACACGTGTCTGCCACATCACGGTGATCTAGAATACAACCTTCTAGCTCGGCAGGAGCTACTTGGAATCCTTTGACTTTCATAATTTCCTGATAGACGGATCAGCCATTGCAACAGAGATTCGAAGTAGAATACCTTCAATCGATCGACGATGAAAACTTCCTTGTCTTCACGTATAATAACTTCGTCTCCGGTACAAAGCCATCCTTCAACAAATGTCTCATTTGTTGCTTTTTCATCATTCCAATATCCCAATGCCAAGGAAGGCGTCTTCACTCTCAATTCGCCTGGTTCATCGAAGCCAGCCAGAGAACCATCAGGCCTGACTACTCGGGCAACTATACCTGGGAGAAACCGTCCAGCGCCACCTGGGATGCCTATTTTCTCATCCACCGAGAACATTGTGAGCGATGTAGAAGATTCGGTCAGCCCTAGATTCCAGATGTGGTGAATGTCAGCGTCAAGGGAACAAGAAGTAGCGGACTTACCATAACCTTGGCCGATTTGGGCATTGGGTATTACTTTCATGAGCTGGTTCACCAACTCAGCTGAAAGAGGTGCAGCTCCGGAGATCAAGAATCGAATGGCACTTAGGTCATAGTTATTGACTGCCGGATGCTGGGTTCACGTTCCTCAGCACACAAGAATCAATTTCCTACCAATTTACGTTTACTGACCTTGCAAAGCAATACAATTTGAGGCGGAACGAGTCTGGGTAGCCAATACGTCAATAATCAACGTGTTTTTCGACCACAAGAAGACAGATTCTCACGTCAGGTGAGTGATATGGTGCCTCTCTATGCTCCTTAAGAAATCTGTGAAGTTGAATTTTGGGGTGACCACCAGCGACATCTAGTGAGCAACCCTAGCATTAACCCTGAAAATTACACGGCGCGATGGACTTACTCCAAAAAATGGCACCGCATAAACCTACTTCGGAAATCAACGGCAGATTCTCTGAACGTTGTGGGAAGCTTGCACTCACGGAGAATACAAGGCCATATATATCTGTACAAGGCATGTGTTTAACGTCACATACAATACATGCAATGAACAGACGTACGGAAGAAGGGAAGCACTGAGCAATAGTGAGTCAGACGTAACCTCAAAAAACTTGGATGAATGCACACCTCCAGCGGCTATATCACCTGGTCTGAACCGCTGCTCCTCCCAAGGAGTATAGGTTTCGTTGACTTTTGTGTATTGGGCTATTTGGATGACGTTGACGATGGGTGCATAATGCGCAATGGCTACCGCCTATTTATTGGTTTATGCATCTACTCGGTATCGATACTTTTAGACAACGGCGCACCTTAGGTTTACCTGTTGTACCGCTAGAAAAGTTTAAAAATGCGATCTTGGTCTTGCCCTCGCCCTTCTTCAATCTTCGCTCGACAAAGGCAGCTTCGTTACTGAGTCCAAGCTGGATGATACTCTCTACAGTTGGCTGAGTCGATTGGCCGAAAGTGAGAACTCTATCAGAAGGTATGTGGGCTGCGCGTGCAGCATCGAGGGCCGTATGGAGGGAGGACGGATGTGCAATTATCAGCGTTGCTTTCACAGCCTGGATCTGATGTAAGAGTTCTTCTGCTGTATATGTCGGATTTGCGCCGCTTTAATGTTTCGGTCGGATCAGCCTGAGAGGGCAAGAATGTCATCATTTGCTGGGCTCACGAAACAATTCCACCCAGTCGGTGCGTGGCCCATATTGCAGGTGGATAATCTACGGGCGACGGTGAACTGACGCCGATGGGGGAGTGGAGACAAAACCTTACCAACATGATTAGGACTAAAGATAAGGACTGTAGACCAATCATAAAAAGGAGGTAGTCGGACTGGATGGACAACACCTACCGACGTCTTCTTCTTCTGCATGTATGCTGTTAGGACACACGGTTACTACTGAGGGACGTTAAACAGCGCGTACTAATACTATAGCGCAACGCAAGCCCGTTTGCAAATCCAAAGGTTCGTGCACGGATCTTCAAGTTGCCAAATGGGCAGGCGCCTAGTAAGAATCGCTACTGTAATATAATTAACGATTTCCACGCACCTCCTCATATCCAATGCGCCTCCCAGTCTCGTCCTCAATTAACCATGGCGCATCGGTTCGGACCGGCCTACGTGGGTGGTGGGAGTCAAGGAAGAACTGGGTTAGCGTCAAGTCGTCAGGGATCACTGAGTCAAGTGGTTCAGTAAATATTTCAGGCATTTCTAATGCAGGAGGACGGGATCTGAAATGTGGGGTATTCGATAAGAGGACTCGAGGAAATCATTAGTGAATGGCAGACTATTATAATTGTTGAAGTATTGATAGATGCGGGTTAACGGACTTCAGCATAGTACGTTCACACGGTCTGGAGGGGTAAAGCCGCGGCATCTACTACACGTGCCATGTACAAACCATCAAAGTACTAGTACATGCAAGGTACCGTTATTTCTCGAAGTACTAAGATTTGAAATTTAATCACCGACGTCGTGTAGTCATACAATAAGAATCATCTTGATTGGTGGTGGACATCACTAGATGCGGCCGCCGTGATACCAATCCTTGGCAGTAAGCCTCGTCCATAAAGCCACACCATCCTAGTCGATCTTGAGCTTGGAGGAGACTCACTGTTCAAGTTGCACTTGGACGTCCCTGTCCATTTCCCTGCCCTCATCCCCGATCTACATGCCGCTCTCTACTAGGTCCCACTGTAATCGGAGCTAGCTGTCATCCAAACATGTAATGATGCGTTATCCGACAAACAGGTTGACAGCATCTTGTACCTGGCTGGTATAGCCTCGTATCGTCTGTCAGGGCTTGAAAGATTGAGCGGCGACCGCTGGCATCTTTGTATTTCTGTTATCTCAGCAATGGGGAAAGACTGGTCGACGCTCGGGGTCTCGACCACGGCAGATGGTGGCTAACATAAGTGAGTGCAACTTCCCGGGATGGTTTGCATTAAAATGGGTTGTCTGGCAATGACAAAGATTGCTGGTGAGTCAACAGGCTTGTTTTATTATTGTCAATACAGGTGCACGCTTGCAAAAGATCTGCTTACCGGAACGAATCCAGTCCTGACACACAAGATGGCTTCTGTGTGCAGACGTTGCTGTAGTGCGGTGCGAGAATGTGCAATGAAACTTTGCCGGATTTAGAAGAAGTCGTTGGTAATCAAGCAGTCAGCTTCGCCGTATAGAAGAGGGTCACTCACGTGAAGCACTGTTCAGACCAATTCAGCACTATAATCATCAGCGAGAGGCGCGGGCGCCGGGCTGTAAGGTAAGATAGTGGACGTTTGGATCAAGAAAGTTAGAAACATGTCCATCTAAGTTTTGTCTTGTAGAGTAGTACGCACCCTATGTGTTGTCCTCGTGCTCACTTCAAAGGTCAACTGCTCTCAGGCCTGTCATCTCGCGAGTATCTGAAGGTCACGCTAATTTTGCACTCCGCATCAACAGGCACTCCCACCCACCGCATACCTACCTGCAGTCTGCCGCAGGCAGAACCTATTAGAAGTAAGACAGCCTCTCCTTCTGTATAAGGACCAACCTCTATCTCAACAGATATCATAATACCCAAACTTGCCGATTCGCGCCCACATGGTGGGAGCCAATTTGTATTCGTTTAAAGGCTTGGTACAAACAGTGCACCTGCATGAAGTTAAAGATTCGCTCAGTCGAAGGTAGAGCCAAACATAGAACGGGAAAATGACGCCGTGTTCTGCGGTGATGAAGTGGGGTACCCTCCACTGTCTAGCAGTGGCTTCGGGCGGCATCGCAGGTAACGTTTACCATCAGGATGAGGCCACGCCAGCTTCCGTCTGCAAGAGCCAGATTGCCACGCTAGATATGCATCTGAGTCCTTAGTTTACGAAGCCCACAACGACTCCTGAAGCGCTGATTGATGGTCCCGCTTAACCTCCGAGTCTCACGTCAGCCAAAGGACATGAACGTCAGGAGATACCACGGAAACCGGCCTGAGTTGATAGTGCCACAGGGAGGATCCCATCTGATTGTCGTCTCCTGCTTGCTAACATCGAATGAGTATTGAGAATGGACATACACATAGTTTAATGAAATCAGTTTGGCAGCACAAGAAGGCACGGGGATATCGACACAAGTGATGAGCGACACATGTAACACAGTAGGGGACTGACCGAGGTACTAGGCTAAGTACGACCACCGCCTGCTAACTACATCACAATAACGATCAGATTCCAGATTATCAATACAATGGTACTTCTCGACTTGATGTTGCCAATCGTCTGGGACAATTATATCCTCCTCCTCCTCTGGCACCGGTCGGCTGTCAGGCTCTTGATAATAAAGCTCCTCCAACGGACCAACGAGCGAAAGTCGTTCTAGTACGATGCGCCGCACGAAGCTTCTTGGAATATCAAAAACGATCAGGGTTCGAAGTCCCGGGAAAGGGAAATCCGCAAGTCCGCGAGACGTGGGGAGTAGTCCCATTGCAAACGCATCATTCCCATAGAACGCCCCTGGCCCCAGTGTCAATACCTTGACACTAGTCATTTGTTTATACAGGCGATGGAGGAGCTGAGGATCTGCACGATGCGCGAAATTAACGAGATGGAGTTCATCCAGCTCTAGAAGAGAGCTAGAAGAATTTGTGTCGGTAAGCCTGATCAACTCTTGGAGGATACCTTCGAATTGAATCTCGACCAGCATGAACTCATCCAGAACGCCATCCAGGGTCAATATCCGGAGATTGGGCATATGAACAGAGTGGAGAAAATCTGCAATCCAACAGTCCATCTTCCTCGATTTCATAGCTAGGTAGTGCAAGCGGGGTAGTGCAATGGGAGACATGATGTCTTCAAGTGGATCCATATCCAATTCGAGTGCGAGGGTCTGCAGGTTGACGAGTGTACCAAGGAGTTGCAACAAAACATCTAATGTAGTGGCCGTATTTATGTTACCGCCACTTGTGCAGTAGTGTATCCGCAAATTGACGAGATGTGATGAAAACATGGAGGGTGAGAGCCAGGACCAACTGGTGCCGAAAAGGATAAGATCATTGATGGGAGGTGCTGAACCAGGAAAAATAAACGGCTCATGATGGTCGGGGTCTACATTCAATTGGTCGTGTACGAGTTGAACATGCAGTTTTTCTAGCATATGGGCTGGATGAACGGAGGGACGCGACATAAGTACAAGCGCTTGACGAATGTGCATTTTTGAGGTTGTCCTCATCGTAAACTCGCGCCAACGGTGCACATGAGCATATAACTCCAGGATGATCAAGACGAGGTAAGCACCAGCTACGCTTTCGTCGACCGGTTCGGGGAGATACGGATTAAGAAGGGAGGCCCGCCTGGGGGCTCCGTTGAAGGGATTGTGGGGGTCATTCCAAAGTAGCGTGATTTTGAGAGGATGTGTTCCACTAAGTTTTAGGAAAGTGCGCACTTTTTCAAGAGACGCAGCACAGTCGCCAAAGGAGATTTGTAACACAGTCCACAATGTTGGAATCTGTGACATGAGACAACGCCAACGTTTGCACACACACATTGCTGCAATGAGAGCCAATGGTGGAGGGCCATTGGATTCTTTTTCCGAGTCATTGTACCAGCACTCATTTTGGTGCCAATCATCCCAATACCTGCCTTTCTGCACTTCGTTTTGCATAGAATAGTCATGGAAGTTGGCTTGGTCTTTTTCACAGACCGACTCGAAAATCATGCGGAGCGCGTCATCCGGCAGGCGATCGATATCACAGTTGGAGTTGGTCATCCGAGCTGTTGACTTTTTTCAGAAAAAGGAAAGTGAGGGTAGTCAATACTAAGAATGGTGGATAATTCTGAAGAGACATACTGCCCAAGGTCAACCACCGCGGCTGCACCAACTTAACGCGAGTCCTGGATTGTGAACCGTGTTCGGAGTGTTCAATTTACGAACAATTGTCGACCCTCGCTATCCACAGAAAGATGCACGTATTACGAGGCTGAAAAGAATTCGTTACTCGAAACAGCTAACTGAAATTTTGTGAACCATGATTCAATTTGCAAATCAGAAGCACCCTCCTTCGGCGGAGTCCGGATTTACTTCGCAAGCTCAAGGATCCACTTGGGATAGGTGAAAGTCTAGCTGATGGACTATCTGGGGTGTTGAAGTCTGTCAGACTCTGGGGAGCCAGTCTACTGGGGAACTCTTCGGAAGAATACCGTGTAGATATCTGAGTCCCACGGGTCACGCGTCACGAGCCGGGCCCAGGCGGTTCATATGTTTCTTTAGTCACAGTAGCATGCCTATTTTTCCAACACGAAATATTGATGGTAGAACCCTGGGATGAGTCGTTGATTCTGGCGCGATGGATCAATTTTATTGGAATTTGAAACAATTCATCGACAAAGGAGTAATAAACAAGGTGTGCATATGCTGGACTCGTAAAGAGGATCACCATGTCACAGCTTCGCTTTGGGCTTCGTTCGCATCTCCCGAGCCTTGTCTCTTAACACCCTCCTCAACAGTTTACCGCTCGGGTTTTTCGGGACAACATCAATAAATTCAACACCCCCAGCGAGCTTTTTGTAGCCAACTTTATTATCAACAACGTGCTGTAAAGTTGAAGAATAAGTACAACGCGTTCCCTAGAGTTTTGAAGCACCAACCTTCATGATCGATGCTTTGATCTCGTCCGCGGCCTGAGGGCTTTCTTCGACACGTTTGGTGGCGTCAGGGCGGAGAACGACGAACGCCAGTGGTAATTCTCCACTATATTCATCTTGTATTCCAACCACGCACGTATCAGTTACGTCGGGGTGGTCCAGAATACACCCTTCAAGCTCAGCAGGTGCAACCTGGAATCCACGGACCTTCAACATTTCCTGTAGGGCTGCTCAATCAGGTGAGACAAAGGCCTAAGGCCAATCATCCAACCTTTAAACGGTCGAGGACTACAATTTCTCCCTTGCGGTTCATCTTCACCTCATCACCTGTACGGAGCCATCTGAAAGCGGAACGTCAGTGACCAGCCGATTGAACGCCTACCTACTCACCCATTTACGAAAGTTTCCTTCGTTCTGATCACATTGCGGTAAATATATGAATGATACAAGGAAGATGACCTCATACGCTTCAAGGTTGTTTGCATAACCAAGCGCAAGCGCCTGCGTCTTTACGACAAGCTCGCCAGGTTCGTCAAAGTCCGCAAGAGTACCATCTGGTTTCTCCACGCGGCCGATAATACCAGGAAGGAGTTGGCCA